AAAAAAAAAAAAAGAAAAGAAAAAAGGAGCAGCATCAAACTGGGCTGGGATTGGGGTAAGGTGAGTGGGCACTTCCTTAAATTTTGCACCCTGAGTGCCTCAGTCACCTCATCCTACTCCCCTCATCCTGGCCCTACCAAGCAGTTCCTTTGTTTGTTTGGGGTGAGTACACTCCTGAGTTTGTCTAAAAAGAGGGGAAAGCAAATGAAGAGGAAAAGAGTAAAGAAACTATAAGGAAAGCTGATAATTCTCCCACTAAGATCTTCTGGGTTTGGCAAGATGAGTTAGGAAAGAAGAGTCAAGAGGCAGAAACATGCTCACTCCAACAAGAGGACCACCCTGGAGAGATACTCTGGAGATCCACATACTGGTGGGAGGACGGAGGCAGAAAGGAGAAAGGGAATTTCATGGAAACAGAAAAGTTGAGAGGTAACCAAGAGACAGTCCACTGGACACATAAACCACTTTCGTATTACAGTCCCTTGTTCTTGTACCTATAATAATGGAATATAAACTTGAAGACGTTGAGCAAATATGAAGGAAAAGAAGAAAAGAATGGATGGATGAAACAAAATATGAACAAAGTAACCCATATTTGAGTTTAAATATTTTCTGTTATGGGCAGAAACAGGGTTTGAAAGTGGCATCAGGACCATGACGGCCCCTGACAAGAGGGCTGGCAAATGGACCCAACTGCCCATCACCTACCTCCCAAAGGAAAAGAGGCACATGAAACCGATGGCACTGGCAAAGGCATCAGGGTCAAAATCACCTCCCAGGATGTCAATCACACGACCAGAATAGTGAGGAATTAATGTCTCACCTGAAAGAAGTAGGAAAGTTAAGAGATGAATGTTTTGGTGCCAAGGCCCTTTTCCCACCATCCCCAATTCCCAATATCTTCTCCCAACTCACCCAAAACAGCAACAGCAAGGAAGAAGAAGGCAGCAGCAAGGAAGGGCACATCTGGCCTGGAGAGCTGCAGCAACCTCCACATCAAGGCTTTGCTCTTCTCCTGGCCCTGCTCCTTCTCCTGGGCTCCAGCAGGGCTCAGCACAGCCCACACAGCCCAGCTTAGCCCTGCAGCCCCGTACCCCAACAGCAGCCAGCTCCAAGGGGCTGAAGCCACACTGATGGGAGGAGCACTCAAGGCCCCGGAGACCAGGGCTCTCAGGGAGAGAAACAGGGGAGTCACCAGGCAGAGCGGGGGCAGTAGTGTCCCCACATATCCCAGCACCCCTCTCAGCTTCAGCAGCCCCCACAGCCCTCCAAGTCGCAGAGTCCCCTCCAGCCATAGTCCTGGTAGCCCCCGAGGAAGCACAGTCCCCAGAGACCCCTGAAGTAACCAGAGGAAGGCCAAGTCCACCAGCACCAGGGAGGCCCAGGGTGTCAGGTCAGGGAGCCGCATGGCGCCGTCTGTGGGCAGAAGTTGAGAAATTATGGAAGTGGAGTCCCAATCCTTGAACACATCCTGACACCCCCGCTCCGCCCAACCTGTCCATCGTCCATCTGCTTCTCATTCTATCCCACCCTACCCTGAAAGACCCCCTAGGTACTCCGTGGTCATCAATTCAACGCTCCAGTGACAGACGGCTCTCTGTCTATCGAGGGAATTGGGGAGCATGACCATCCCGAGCCACAGGCTTTAAAAAAGCAAAACAAAACAAACCCCAGACCTCCCTCCTCCACCCTGGCCTGCCGCCGCGGAGCTCCGGAGAGCGGTGCAGTCCCAGCTCGGTGCCCTTCCATCCCCGGGGTCCAGAGCCCGGGAGGTGGTGGGTCGGGCTGCGTCCCCGCCGGCGCTCCAGGTCCCCATCGCAGGAACTCACCAGCCGCGGCGGCGGAACTGCAGCTCCGGGGGCTTTAGCTTAAGCACCAAGGACTGAGCCCCCTCTCTCTCAGCTTCCTGGTCCCTTCAGCTGTCCCGGCCCAGATCTCTTCTGAGGCCCTCGGGTCTCCTGCCGCTTTCGCTTTCGCTTCCCCCGCCTGGCCCTGGCTCGGGGCGGAGCGGCCGGCAGGGGGCGCGCGAGGCCTGCAGATGACCGAACCTGCCCCATGCTAGGGGTCGCATTGCTGGGGCTCGCCCTTGGAGGCGGTTACACTGTGACAGAAAACTGTAAACATTTTTAATTGTCATTAAGTAAAATAAAGATGCTTCAAGTATTGAGATGATTTGTAATAGGAGAATCAACGGACTGTCTCAAAACTACTTCCTCAAGCTCTAAACTTATTTTTAGAAGTGCTCCTCTTGCCCCATGCAAGCTCGTTTTAGAGTCGGTGTGAAAACAAAGCCAGATGCAGCCACTCTCGGGGCAAAGGGTGTCTACTAACAGATTTTGAATTTAGGAGGCCCAGGCTCTCTATCTTCTTCTGTCCTTCTCAACAGAGCATGTGGAGCGGAGCACCAGTTCAGATGCCTCTCAGTTTGTACTGCAAATTATGTGGGGGGCGCCTTCAGCATGGGAGGGAAATGCCATGGTACTGGGCTTTGTTTCTTGGTATATTTTAACCTGACTGGAAGAGTAATCAGGTTTCTAAGGGGCCTTCCCACCCTCTCTAAGCCTATTTCTGGAAAAAGGAGGTTTGTTTATTCCAGAAACTATTCTTCAGGCTGAAACTACCCCCCAAACTTAAAATATAAAATAAAATAAAATCCCTCCACAAGGAGGATCACTTGGACTCCAAACCACCCTTTTGATATGTTATTGGTGTCATTACCCAATACCAATGAGTCGCTTGAAGTCAAAAATAGTGTGGGGGGGGGTTTGAAGTAATGAATTAGCACAATTTTTCCACCCTGTCTATTATGGCACTTGAAGGATCTCTCCCTAATGAAAAAAACTCCATGTTCAGCTGCTTCCTACTTTCCAGCACTTGCTTTCTTCAATTAACTCATCTCTGGGGAGAGGGTGAAAGGATCCATAGTTCCAGCACAGTTCAGAAGAATCTCGTGATGTACCCTGAATCTTTTACTTTTTCCTCATATTCCTCACTTCATGGAGTCCTGCTTCTCACCACTTCCTCTTCAGTATAATCCTGTTATCTCACTATCCAACATGACACATCATGAAATTGGACCCCTAATGTCTGTTTTGACATTCAATATCCAGTATCTCTGAGTGTTAATTGCAGTAAATAGCATGGTGTCTGCAACTACTACATCCGGTAGAGGTGGAGCTTTTCCATCTCACTCTACAGAGTTGAAAACAGTTGTTCTAGGTGGCCTGGTCCCAGTCACCCAAACCATTAACAATGAAGCACACAGGAGTCTCCGGGGTGTCTCTGTAGAAAGAGCTCTGGCCTAAACCAAACTGCAAATAAATGTCCACAGACACTGGAGAGATGAGTAAAGAAGAAAAACTCAGAAAGAAATACTTTGTGAGGTGGGGAAGAGACTCTTCTCCTGGAAAAGCTCTTCTTTCTTTCCTGCCCCCTCCCACAACAACCACAGCCCCAACCCCACTCAGCCACAACACAGAGACATTTATAACCGTTTTCCTTTATTGTACATAGTGAGACCCAGAAGTTTTTTGAGAGAAATGCTCATGAAACAGAAAACACACAAAAGGATGAACCCCTCTAGCCCTACTGGGCCAATAAGCCTATTCTCTATCTCTGGTGCAGGTTAGGGCTCTCGTTCTCCAGGGGCTTCTTCTGTCTCAGGTCCTTGGGTTGGCCAGACTCTCCCTGAGGTGGCTGCCCAGCTGCCATCCCCATTACTGCTTGGCCTCCCAGTACTGGTGCAGCAGGTCACTGACGTCTGTACTTTCCACTTTCACCCAGCCGTCTTCCTTCATATGGTACACTGTGGGCCAATGGGATAAAAGTATGGAGTTAACCTTTCACCTTAGTTAGTTCCTGTTAAAGGTATTATGTTAATACCATTACACACCATCAACACTCGGGCACATGCTTAAAACCCAAGCTACTGGGACTTTAATGCCTTGCAGACTCTGAAAACCTCCCCTCTGCCACTCTACCTCTCCTGAGTCTCTCAATCTTAAATCGTCCTCCCTGTCCCCTCTCAGGTATGGTGATGGTCATGGTGGGTGGGTGGGTGTTGGTGGTTGTGGTGGTGGTAGTGTGGTGATGGTGGTAGTGGTAGCACTGGTCTCTTACTATTGACAACGCCTCCAGAATAGCTGTCTCTGTGGGTGGCATGAGCAATAGCCCTGCGGCCAAGGTCATAGGCCTCTTGGGGGGTAAGATTGAGCAGATAGCCGCTGTCCATGACCCCATAGGCATAAGTGTTCCCACTACCAGTGGAGAACATATTTCCTGAGAGCCGAGTTCCATTTTCATTTACATAGTAGAGTCCAGGACCCTATAAGACAAAAGAAGGTTCCAGGTTGAAATTAGAGAGGGAGTCACTGGTAACAAAGATTTGAGTAAGCGTCATAAAAAGTGAACAAAAGAATATTACCACAGGATTATGTAAATTAGGACAACACTTCTGTAAAATCTACAACTTTAGAAATCAAAAAGAAAAACAAATTTGAAATCAACTAGTTTACCAAAACAGGGAGCTTATAAAATATATACAGTGGTCGATATCTGAACCAAGGAAACACTACATACTGGAACAGGTTTATAACCACGTGAGTGCTCTACATGTCTATCTTGTAGAGGAGGGAGTGGAAGTATGCAATGGGAAAACAGAGCTTTCATCCATGGTGGGGAGCACTGTGCTGGAAAGTACCCACCTTCTTGTCCCAGCCACAGATCATACTGCCCATGGAGAGGCCCATGCCCCGGTACTGGCACATCATGTTGGAGAGTAGTTTGGAGGCTGCTGAGACGGAGATGCGCTCCCCATTCCGCAGATAGTACAGCCTGGGTGAGGACAGGAGGAGGGGGAGTGAATTAGAGGTGACAGATTAGCTCTCTCCCACTTGATGGTACAGGAAACGACTGAAGAGATAAGAAATTATTTTGCAGGATCTAAGAATCAGAGAAAGATTTTGAATATCAGTATTTTAAATATATAAAGAGCGCCTAGTAAATAATACTGTCCCACCAGGGTTGACAGAGTCAGTGCTCAATTGACAAATTGGCTCATGGGCAGGAGCATAGACTAAGATTTGGGAGAAGGTATTTATTACAAAAAAGTTGTTTTGTGAAATATTCTCTTAGCACTAAGATGGGGCAAGAGGTAAGGAGCAGTGATCTCGGAGATCCAGGGATTCACAATACCTGGCTAAGAGAAGGCTGAGAGGCCTCCTGTCACTAGGGAGAGAGGAGATGAGAGGCCTCTCTTACCTACACTCCTTGGCCAACAGACGCTCCCAGTACTGACAGTCCGCTGCACAGCCAGACATGGTGCCAAGCAGGTAAGGGTTAATCTCAATCACCTTGTTCACCCGCAGGGTATCTGGGAAAAGATGGAGTTTTAAGAGAGGAAGGATAAACCCACAGTTCTCCCTGAGTGTCCTAAATCAACACGCCCTTCAGTCCTTCAGCTTTGGTAGAAGGCTATGAAGAGGAGGGCCCAGCTCCCCAGATCCTGCCTGCTGAAGCACACACACTCACCAATGTAATTCCCAGCCGAGGCCCTAGAGTCCACTGCCACAATCACTCCATGCTGGAATTTGAAGGCCAGTGTGGTGGTGCCATGGGCCATCTCAATCTGAATGTCCTTTTCTCTGTCCCCACCCAGGGACTGAAAGAATTCAGTGGGCTAACGAGAGAGAAGATGTAGAGAGAGGTGCAATAAAAACTTTTGTAACAGGACAGGGAAGGTAGCTCAAGCCTATGATCCCAGCACCCTGGGAGGCTGAGGTGGGTGGATCACCTGAGCTTAGGAGTTCCAGATCAGCCCGAGCAAAAGTGAGACCCATCTATACTAAAAATAAAAAAAGCAGTAGGCATTGTGGCTTGTGCCTGTAGTCCCAGCTACTTGAGAGACCGTGGCAAGACAATTGCTTGAGCCTGAGAGTTTAAGGTTGCTGTGGGTTCTGACACCAGGGCACTCTAGCCAGGGTGACAGAGCAAGACTCTGTCTTAAATAAATAAAATGGGACACTAACAACCAAGCTCTAGAAGGAAATGGCTTGGAAGAAGGAAGAGGCATGGGGCATTAACCTTTTCCATTTTCTAGCTCAACAGAAAAGAAAGAAAACAAATTCGTTGTCATAACTAAAAATATGAAGGGTGACTTTAACGGTTTTCTCCATTCATAGATTATTCAACCTTCATAAAACACGTTTTATTAACAGAATCTTCATTTTACAGAAGAGGGACTTGCTTGGGACCTCAAAGTCACGCAGCAACAAGTTGCTGAGGTAAAGCTAGCTGCCAAAGTTGTAGGTTTTCCGACTACACAGCCCCTCTATCATATGATAATCCCATTGAAAAGGCCGCACGATTTGTGTGTGGTCAACAAACGGCAGGAAGGCTCGCCTGTCTTCACTTGGGAGCACCCATCTCGCCTCTAACTCTTTGGCCCTAATCTGCACTTCCCACCGCATCGGGCCGCATCCCCACGTGGCCGCTTCCCGGGATCGCGAATGAAGGCCGGCCCCCTCCGCGTTCCCCCACCTCCACGCATCTCACGCAGACCCTCCACTCCTCTGCGCCGCCTCCACACATCCCTAGGGATTCCCTTACAGCCCTGACCTGCATTCCCCGGGGGAGGGCGAGCTCCGGAGATCGCATAGAGAAACTGTAGTGTCCTGGGTCCGAGCAATGGCTGCTTCCAGCAGCTGGAAAAGCCCAGTCGGGCCTCTGCCCTCGGGGGGCTCCGCACACATCCAGTAGAGCCATGACCGCCTGGCACTCGCAGAAGTCTCGGCTCTCTCTCCAGGAGGAAGTGAAAGCGAAAGCCACAGCCCGAAGGGGGAGGGAACCAGAATCTTTTCCACATCCCCCTGCCCTTTCCAAGAAAAGGACAATGAGTGTCTGAACCAGGAGTATCACAGTGGGCACCCGCTTCTCTGCTCTGCCTTTATGGAGATTAGGGAAACTGTCAGAAGAATGCAAGAAAGGGAGGGAGCGCCCTCTAAAGCCCCGACGGCTACGGATTATAGTGAGAGACACCCCCAAGCCCCGGCAGTTAAGGAGTGGGCAGGGGCGCATCATCTAAAGGCGTAGCCTCAACCAGGAAGATCAAAGTCAACAAGAGGCTGGGACGGGTTTCACCTGGAGGTGAGGGCGGGAGTTCATATGAGCATAACTGTATAAAAACATTGGCGAGAAGGAGTACGAGGGGCACCGAGTATTTTGAGAAAAGGTCCCTGGGCAGCCACAACAGAATACGTCTCGGCGTGTGGTGGAAGGGGGTGCCGAGGAGAGGGCGGAGTCTCTGAATATTTCGACGTGGTCCCTCCTAGGGCACCTCCGGTTCAACGGTCTCTCTAACCCGTAGCCACCTGGAAGACTTGCCCGTTCCGTCCACGCCCCTCCGCCAGCGCTGCTCCTAGCTTGGCTGAGCGACTTTTATTCCTCTAAACCCCTCCTCTCCTTACAACCTGTATGGGCCTCGTCTGCCCAGCAACCGCTAACGTCACACAGCTGGGCCTCCGGGAATGGGAGAGATTTACTAGACAATCCCGCCCGCTGTTCTGACATTTCCCCCACAGGTGCCGCCGCGGAGCCGGTGAGGCCGGAAAAAACCGAGTGGCTTCGTGTGTGGCGCTCTCAGCCCTTCGGTTAACGCACTCACCCTCGCTCTATCTGCGCCCGCCACCCATCTTCACTTTAGGAAGGCCCTGGCTCTAAGCAGCAGCTGCTGGTGCCTGTTGGGCGCTGTGGCGGGGTTCTTGCTCGTCCTTAAGAGGAAACTTGGGGGCACGGGGAAGTGAAGGAGAAATCATAGAAAATAGAAAACTTAAAGGCGAAGACGGTGCACTTAGGGCTGTAAGACATTGCAGATGCTAAAGGGAAGACACTTGGCTGTTGAAAAGTGTGCTGCAGAAGAGTCATTCCGTGTCCCAGAAATACAAGAAACCACAGTACAAAATACCGGTTTTATTATAAATATCAAGAATCCACAGACTATTTACGAACCAGCTTATGCCTTTGTCCGTATTGAAAGTGGCTGGTTTTCCCTTCTGTATGTACATTCTGAATATCCCCCCTCATTTTCAGAGTGTTATCCACACCAAAGCACTGACCCTAGCTCTACACCTTAGCAAGTAAGGAGTTGCCAGTCCTGTGGAGAGACAGTAAAGCTCATGGTAAATTTCTGCCAACTCCTCCTAGAAGCAGCTACCTGCTCTGCAGTTCTGTAAGGTCGTTGCTCCCAAACTCTCCACCACAGAGAAGAAAAGAGGGAGGTGGAGTCTGAGAGTCTTTCATTCTGGAGCACCTGCAGGAGCCTGCACCATGTCCCAATAGTGTCCCCTTTTCTGCATGAGCTGCTGGTGGGTTCCTGCCTCACAGATACTGCCTCCTTTCAGAAAGAGCACCTGGGCAGCCTTCTCCACGAGGCTGAGGTTCTGGGTGATGAGAAGCACAGAGCGAGAACCCCGCTTGGGACTTTCATATAGGAGCTGCTCCACCTGAGAAAAGATACACACTCTGTCAGTGCAGGGGCCACCCCCAGCCCTGTACTTCCAGGGCTGGGACAGACCTCACAAGATCACTGTTGACTCTACCTATAATCCCAAGGACACCAAAGATGTCTGTTCTGAATGCTTCTTTGCCAAACCTTTGTTTTTAAGGACTCTTTACATGAGGGTGCAAAAGTGGAATAAAAGCCAGAGTCCTGCAGTGAAACTTGTCAGAGAAGAGTAAAAAGGGTTTTGAACAGTCTTCTCCTCTCTACCAAGGGACTGGGAATTTTTGTAGTAGATGTTAAGGAAACACACTGTAGTAGTAAAGAACATCAGCCAGGAGTGGTGGCTCGCGCCTGTAATCCCAACATTCTAGGAGGCTGAGGCAGGTGGATTGCTTAAGTTCACAAGTTCAAGACCAGCCTGAGGAAGAGCAAGACCCCCATCTCTAAAACCTAGTCAGCATTGTGCCAGGCACCTGTTGTCCCACCTACTCGGGAAGCTGAGGCAAGAGAGTCTGTTGAGCCCAGTAGTTTGAGGTTGCTGTGAGCTATAATGCCATGGCACTCTCCCACGGGGACAAAGCGAGACTCTATCGCAAAAAAAAAAAAGTGAACATTCCAGTCAGGTGGACCTAAATTTGAATCCAGGTCATATCTATATGACCTCTATATGAGGTTATTCAGCCTCTCTTAGCCTCCAAGGATTCACGATAAATAAGTGAGATAGTACATGTAACTGGCCCAGTAGCATGTCTGACACAGTACAAGCGTACATAATATTAATATTATTAGGATGGCCTTTTCTTTGTGTTTAGCTTTAGAGATTCAGAGTCTGTAGATAGTCTCCTTTAACTGATTCAAAGTGTCTTGAGGAGACACTAATGGAAACTGAGAATTACAAAGACTGGATTGTATAATTATGATATTAGTAGAACTAATATGGGATGAATAAAGGAAGCAAGATTGGGTGGGATATAGACATTAAGAAGATGACTCACTCGTAACTGGCTGTCTGCATCCAGGGCACTGGTAGCATCATCCAGGATAAGTACACACGGTTTCCGAATCAATGCTCTGGCCAAGGCCACAGCCTGTCGCTGACCCCCTGACAGTTGGCTCCCAGCCTCTCCTGCTTCTGCAAAGACAAGAACCAAGATGAGAATTAGACAGCCTTATTAGACACATACACACCAGGAACTGGCAGATGGGGCTGGATAGTGGAGATTCTGGGAATAGGGTTATGAGGAGGTGAGAATAAAGAAGCCATAGGAGCAAGATCATAGCAGCTTCAAACTGGTGTCTGTGGGGCAGGTGGCGCTGCACAGAAGAGCAAGACTACTGGGGTTTCATTAAGGCAAAGGTGTGTGGGTGGTGAGGTGAGTGAACAGAGTACCGGTCTCATAGCCCTGAGGAAGCCTAGAGATGAAACTATGGGCTCCAGACTCCATTGCAGCAGCTTTGATTTCCTCCATAGTGGGCTTCTGGGTCAGGCCATAGGCAATATTTTCGTGAAGACTTCTTCCAAATAACTGTGGCTCTTGTCCTACTGCAGCCACCTGAGATGAGATATGATGAATAATCATAAAACAAGGAACACAGGAGTGTGTTTACCTAGACATTGATACGCTCTCAGAAGAGCACATCAGAAAATTACATGCCCTCTCTTGACCACATTCCCATCTCCACCCACGGTCTCTTATCCCTCCCTAACCCTCCTTTCAGAGTGCTCAGAGAGAACACTCTTCTTATGTAATGCTCCCCGCCCTCCCTCATGCCACCTTCTTACACACCTGGCTGTGCAGGTAGCGGTGCTCATATTGCCAGACGGGCTTCTCATCCAGCAGCACCTTTCCCTCGGTGGGCTGGTACAGATTCTGTAGCAGGGCAGCCACTGTGCTCTTCCCAGACCCATTGGGTCCCACCAGCGCTGTCACCTCACCAGGACGTAGGGTGAATGTCAGCCCCTGGAGTCCAGAGAATTGCACAATAAGCGACAGACTGAGTACCCTAAGAGGCCCCTAACTTCAAGACTGTAATTGTCATGCTACATAGTATGATTTACCCCAGAAGAAAAATGGGAAATAGAATAACTCCTAGCCTCCCACATGCACAGATTTCTGGAAGATGCCTCCCCAAGGAGTAGAGACAGAAGATGAGACAAAGGCAAAGACCAAGTCCCACTCTGCCACACACTTGATACCAGATACCACCAAGAAACAGAAAAGAAATGACATTCCGAATCACAAATGGAAAGAAAAAGGAAAGATGGAAGGCTAAAGACACAGATTTTGCTGTGGCAGTTCCTTGGAAAGTGAGTCTTCTATTTGAAACCTCTTCCTCCATTCTTCTTGGAAGACCAAATAGGTTATTGAGTTTGGGGAAGATTTATGGAACGGATGACGCTATCACTGCCTTTAAAGGGTGAGGAAGGATCTGTGCTTAGTGTCAAGCAGGAAGAAAACTTAGGAGGCAGAACTGCAGTTGGCGCTGGTGGAACACAGGGATTGGTAGGTGATAGCACGTACCTGCAGCACTGAGACATCTGGACGATTCTGGTAAGCAAAGGAGACATCTTGGAACCAGACATGACCCTCCAGGTTTAAGGAAGTCAACAGACCACTAGGTGGGCAGCGAGGTGTGCGGTCCAGATATTCAAATATTTTCTCTGAGGAACCCACAGCCTTCCGTACATAGGGATAGGTGGAGAGTAGTACCTGCAGGGAGGTATGAACAGTGAGAGGGAAGTAGGGAGAACTAATCTGCTTGCCAGGATTATGTTAGGTGAGAAGCATAAAGAAGGGAAGAAAGACACACATATGGTGCTGGGCCAGGGGAATAGTGACTGGGAAGAGGGAGTGGGGAGAGACACTAGGGGACTCACCTCAACAGCTGAGGTGAACTGGATCTGGTACAGAACAAATGTGACAAGGTTCCCACTGCTTACAGCCCCACTGGTCACCAGCTGCCCACCGATGTATAGGATTCCCACCTTCAGCAGCATCCCTGAAATCTATAGAGAGGCCACATAAAAAATGGATTGTGGCAAAAAAAACCTTGAGGGGACAGAGAGAAGCAAAGTCATTAATATAAAGGAGATATAAAGTCCCTGTCCCTCAGGTAACATCAGAAAGCTAAATAGGTAGAAAGGTCTCACAGAGACCCCATGGAGTCTGATTCAAAAACACATCATAGAAGTTATCACAGCTTCATCACCACCTCCATTATCACCTTGATTGGGGAGCACTTTACTCTTTGTAAAAGGCTGTTATGAATACAATGTTGGCTAATACTCCTATCAACAGCCCTGTAAGGAAGATTATATCACTCACTCCCATTTTTTTTAAAATGAAAAAACCACCTCAAAGAAAGACAGGTACTTGCCTATGGTCACAGAGTTAGTAAATGGGAATATCAGGCCAGGCACATCTGACTGCTGGTCAGTTTCTGGTTCTCTTTCACTACATAACAGATGCCCCTCATCCCTGGGAGCCACTGTTCCATGGTTCCCTCTAGCACATCCAAATAGTACCAGCATGAAGCACACTGAGATATGGGAATTTAAGGCTCCCTGAGCTTCCCATGAGAGACAAAGGAAAGCCCTTGGACTAGAAGACACGGCATCTCTCCCCAAGGTTGTGTGGATTTTGTGTATCTTAGCAAAAGGAAGCCACCTAGCATTCCTAAAAAGGAGGGAGGAGGATACTAGAGTCATTAAGCCTTAGGTTGCTAGGATGAAAACACTGAACCAACCATTTCCTATTGGAGGAGGAGTGGGAACAAGATCATAGGAAAGGGAATGGAGTCATAGCATCTTGGGGGCAGGGAATGGGCTCACACTGGTGGTGCAGAGGTTGACTGCATAGGCCATGGACTCCTTCTGGTTGAGCATCTTTATTTCTTGCAGCTTTTGCCTAAACTTCTGGGCCTCACCCTCCTCATTGGCAAAACTCCGGACTGTGGGCATGGCTGACAGAGCCTCAACGGCCACCTGGCTGGACTCTGCCAGAGATTGCTGCACCTGCACCGCCAGTGACTGTGGAAACATAGACAAGAGATGTCACACAGGGTTAGCAAACCATAAGGGACAGTCCCTGAGTTACCTAGTTTGAAATTAAGGGTGAGAAGAGGCAGAAATACCATAGAGCAGTGGTTCTCAACCTTCCTAATGCCACAACCCTTTAATACAGTTAAAAAGGGTCACGACCCACAGATTGGGAACTACTGCCATAGAGAAACAGCTATGCCCTCTGGATACTAAAGAAATACAAAGAAGAGGAAAATGGGTTGGGGATCATATTCTTAAAGACAGATTGTAGGCAGGCATTAGAAGAGAAGACACAGAGACTATGAAAATCAGTGTTGAGCAGTCTGGGAACATGGACCACAGGGCAGTTAGTTCCACAAAGATGGAGAATCAGTGAGGGGACTGTGAACAATCTGAGAGGAATGGAGTCTGCCCAGTCTGAGAGATGAGGGTGAGTCTGTATGGGTTGAGCCACTACCCTGGACATACCTGGTACCATTTTCCCAGCTTCTTAGGCAGAAGGAAGAGCAGAGGCAGGGCAACCAGGGTAACCATGGTGAGGGACAGTGACCCCCAGAGCATGAACGCCAAGAGACACAGTCCTCGCACCAGGTACCACAGCAGTAGGCTCAGCTTCTCACTCAGAGACTCACTTAGGGTGGACGTGTCCTCTGTTACCCGAGATGTGATGGCACCTGTCAAGGTTGGGGAGAAGAAAGTAAAGTGAATGAAGCAGTTTCCAGGTGAGGAGTTTCCAACTGATGATGAGTCAGAGTGTCAATAGTAGTGTCCACATGTTGCTCTAAGGAGGCCAGTGTGGGGTTCTAAGGAGTCTGGAGCAAGCCAGGTTAGGGGGTTGGGGAGGTCTTCAAATCTCAGTTCAGGGAGAATGAGTGTTAGACCTTCAGTTTAATTACAAAGAAAGTAATGTGCATATAAATGTCCATTTCTCTGAAAGCTTTCAGTTCCCTGAAGACTCATAAATTCCACACTATACACACAGGCAGGAAGAGCTTAACCAAGTCCCATAGCAGAGGTGGAGGAGAGGGAGGTGCCGCTAGAAATCATGCTGGAGTTTAACACTGGGAACCTGTGGCTCAAGCGGCTAAGGCGCCAGCCACATACACCTAAGGTGGCGGGTTCGAATCCCCAGCCCGGGCCCGCCAAACAACAATGATGGCTGCAACCAAAAAATGGCCGGGCGTTGTGGCAGATGCCTGTGGTCCCAGCTACTTGGGAGGCTGAGGCAGGAGACTCGCCTGAGCCCAGGAGTTGGAGGTTGCTGTGAGCGTGATGCCATGGCACTCTACCCAGGGGGATAGCTTGAGGCTCCGTCTCAAAAAAAAAAAAACCACTGGGAACCAAGTGTGGGAGGTGCCGCTAGAAATCATGCTGGAGTTTAACAAGCACCACGCTAGGAGCCCAGAGACTGGGGTTCTAATCCCAAGTTTATCTCCAGCCATGTGTGACTGTGCAAGTTTCAGCATTTGGGATTTAGGCCTCAGGTTCCTTCCTCAGTAAATTGAGGTAGTTGGACTCCATTAACTGAATTTGGAATTATAAAGAGACATAGGGATAGGTCTATGGAAAAATCCTAGAGGAAAATTTTCATTTTTCTTAAGGTAAAGAGGACAATATTTTGCTCCTGAGGAATATCAGGAATAAGAAAATGTGTGTGTGTGTGTGAGAGAGAGAGAGAGAGATGAAGATTATAAATAAAAGCAGGTAGATGGGGATATAAACAGTTCACAGGTGTGTAATGAAGAAATTTCATTAGAAACCTGTTTGGTTCTGGTGAAAAAACTCTGTCTCCTGGCGCATGACCGCCTGGAACACCTCTCCCTGTAGGGAGCTGTGCACACGGCCCATGGTGCTGTTGTAGATGCCATCACCCAGGAACTCCAGCACTGCACTAGAGAAAGACCAGGAAAAGGAGGGTTGGTGTGTTCAGAAGACACAGAGGAGGTCCCAGGTATCGCCAACTCCCTCTTTTCCAGGTTTCCCATTCTCAGCCCACAGACCTGGCTATGGTAAGAACAGACATGAGAGCTATGTTTCGAGTGAAGGTAGCAGCTGTCCCATCTTGTAGAATCCAGTCAGTAAGGCGTCCAGTGAAGAATGGAATGGCCATTTCCCCTGGGAAGAGAGAGGAGAGTCAGTCACAAATACTAAATCTAAGCAGGTCAGCTTCAGTCAGACCCACCTTGCCCCTCTATCCCTCACCGTTATCCCAGAGGGCAGCAGCAGAAAGGGGTCACAATCCTGAACCTGAATAGGCTGTCCTAGAGCTGGCTACCCTGAGGTTGTCCTGCCCCCACCCCCGACCTTTCAGCAGTTTAATTAAGAAGGCTGGAAAGTATGAAGTAGAATGCCCTGCTCTTAGAGATGAGGCTGGGCGGGGGGAAGGACCTGCCCACCGTGGCCCAGGGCTGGAGCCCAGGATCCCACCATTGCAGTGCTCTCTCCTCCACACTGCGTGGTCGCCTCAGGATCTGCATTTCCCAGACCCCACACTATCCTGCACAGTCCCCCTATGTCCTCCCCTCTCGCCCTGAGTCCCTCTTACCAAGACAAGAGAGGACCAATAGGACCACAATCAGCGGGAATCGGCCTATCTCCGAGCTTAGGCAGCCTAGAAGCCGACGCACAGAGCCGGGCACTCGGAGGCTCCCGAGTTTGTGCCACAGGGCGGCTGCAGGCAGTGCCGCTGCATAGCTGAGGACGAAGGCATCGAGGTGACTTCCCCAGTGAAGTAGCCTGGTGCTGTCAGCCGCCCCGGGGACTCCCCACGAGCGCAGGTCTCGGAACAGGACAAGTCCCGGCAGGGCTAAGCCCAGCGCCGCTGCCAATGGCTCCAAGGCAGCCAGCCAGCCCGGGGCTCCTGAGCTTCTGTTCGTGGAGCCAGCCGCTGCCTTGAGGACCCCGCGGGCCCCCAGCCACAGCAGGGCCCAGCGGCTCAGCCCCACCGCCCAGACCCGGAGCTGCGGCAGCGCCGTGGGTACCAGCCGAGAGAACAGCCCGGGCAGCGCGGGCCGCAGCAGCACACAGTCGGCGAGAAGCAGCAGCATTGCCCCCAACCACCTGAGAGAAGCTTGGAAGACGCAGGGGCACCCGCAAGGAGCGGGGGACCCTGAACTGGCCATTGGCGCGAAGGCCTGTCGCTGTTCCTGTCCTGGCCTGGAACTCTCCGTCGTCTCCCGCTGGGAAGGAGTCTCTGGATGCAATCGAGTCCGCGGGGACTCGCAGCTGGGGGGACGGAGTAGAGGCGGGCGGGGGCGGGGCTCTTGGAAAGTCCCGAGAGCCAGCCGGTCCTGGTTCTGCTGAGAAGCTCAGTGGTTTCCCGGAAAGGAAAATCGAAAGCGGCCGCTCGCTCCCTAGATCCGCCCACTTCTTACAGTGGCCCGCCCAGACTAGTCTGGGAGTAGTAGGTTAAGTTGGATTTGAGGTTCTGGGCGCTGCCCTAGTGTCCCATTTTCTCCATCACGCACACACCCTTCCCTCCTCTCCCGGCCTCCTCTGGATCCACTTGCACGAATCTTCTCTTCCCGGCCTCAGGGATGGCCTCTTTCGTCACCTGTCTCCGGGCAGATGCGCCCTGCCTGGGTTGGCACCCAGCGCGAACCTCACCGGGAAGACTCTGGCGCCCCCTGGCGGGCGTGGTGACGGGGCGGGGCTGTAGGCTGCGCGCCGCGCGCTGTCCCAGGTCGGAAACCAGAGCCGCAGGCAGCGAGAAGTGCAGCGCCTGGCAGGGATGCTGCGGGCGGGAGCACCAACCGGGGACTTACCCTGGGCAGGAGAAGTTCACACCGGGGTAACGGGTCCGGGCTTGAGGGTTGGCAGGGGGTTGAGGGAGGAGCAACAGGTGGGGAGACCCTGGAAGCATTGAAAAGTGAATGCGGAGACGAACAGGAGTGTAGGGAGGTAGCTTGTAGCAGCCAGTGATTGTCCTCCACCCTGCACTGAACATAGGGTATTTCAATTCTAAAGGGGGTCCTCGAGGGGTCGGCGATGGTATGGGCATGAGAAGGCTGGTGGAGAAGGGGGTGCTTTGACTCTTAGTTGGAAGCGTCAAGGGGAAGCTGCTGTAATGCGCTTTCGCTTTCACTCTGGTCTGCACAGTGTGGGCTGGTTAAATGAAAAGGGGGAGTTGGGGACTGTGCAAAGAGATGAGGAAATGGTGCCTGGCGTGAAGTAGGACAGTACTTGAGAAAGGGGAATGCGGGCACGTATTGAGAAGGACCAACTCATCACACAGACCTCTGATAAAATCGCCCTGGGTAACTCTCAGCCCGAACACTGATAATGGATTCCAGGGATTCCCTTCCCCAGTTTGACCCAGGAAGGCTCCTCCTTGGCCCAGGTGGTGCCTGCTCCCTCCCTTGTGTCTTCCTTGCCCACCTCCAAGTGCCCACAGGGAACTTTGCTCAGGATGGGTGCCTGAGGCGGACGGCAGGCCCAAGGCTGGCTGGCTTCTGCTCTCAGACTACTGCCACTACCTTGACCTCGGGGCAGCTCTGTTATAGAGGAACAGCCTCTGGGATGGCGTTACCTCTGTTTTCTGGCTTTCTACTGGTGGGCAGTATGTCAGGAAGCATACTCAGGGCAGTGTCCCAGGGGCCAGGGTAAGTTACTGCACGGTGAGATGAGAAAGGGAGCGGTAAAACTTTACAAATTGAAAATTTTCCTCTATTGCCAAGTGAACAGTGTCAAGTAGGAAATACAAGTCAAAACCAAGAATAGGAGTTGGACCTGGGGTTTAGTCCTAAGTCTGCTGTTCATTCTGTACATTCTGGGTAAATCATTGGTCTCTTCTATGTCTCGGTTCCCTCATTTGAACGGAGGATCTTTAAGGCTCCTTTCAACTAAACAGTTGTAGAAAAAGTGTAGTTATATCCTCTCTCACTTCTTATTTCATTTCTTGATCTGGTAAAGTCAGCTTAAATTCCCCATTCAGATCCTCTCTTGGTACAGGTCGCTTTCCCTGGCTACTGAGATACTGACTTACTTCTTGATCAGAAATACCTTAAGGGAAACTTTCTTATTTTAAACCACCTGTGTGTTCCTTGCTGTTCCCCTCCTGCCTTTGACCTCTGGCCATGCTAACCACTATCCCCTCAATGTCTTCCATTGTTCAGTAAACTGACAGAGCTTGTTTCTGGTTAAGTGGGAGTGGGGCAGAGGATTCTGGGCCCCAAAACACCCGCCCTTGTTTCCCAGTTCACAGTCCAGTGCTGCATCGGTTCTGTCCACACGTGTGTGATGGAGATGATCTGCTTGTGGGCTGCTTGTGGTGCTCCCCTCAGAAGAAGCACTTCTGCTTCTAAAAGGCCCATCCCCACTTCTCTCTTTGGAGTGAGAAGGAGTCCACTTAGGAATGTTGTGGCTTAGGATATGGTTCTTTCTGTGTGGTATCAAAGCCTAGCCGTGACATTCCTCTGAGCCAGATAGATCAACAGAGAAAGTGGGCAGATGGGCTGGGAGGGGACTTATCCGGGAGTCGGCTCTGGCCTGACTTACTGTGTGACCTTGAGCCAGTCATGTCCCTTCTCTAGGAATGCTTCCTCTTCTGTAACATGAGGGGATCAGGGCTCTACTCCTCTGACATTCCATACTCTGTCTACAGACGACCATCATGGCGGTGGAGTTTGACGGGGGTGTGGTGATGGGCTCTGACTCTCGGGTGTCTGCAGGGTGAGTACAGCAAGGGTGTGTGCATTTGGAATGAAGCTAATACTATCCAAATACGCAGTTTTCTTACCCACTCTTGAAAGGACTGGTGGACTGGAGTTTGCGGAAGTAGAGTCGACCTTCCTGAAAAACACTGTAACAGAGCCATTTGGTGGGTGCTTGGGTCTCTGAATTCATGGAGGAGGATCTGGGGTCTGAATGCTTATGTGGCCCATCCTGTAGTATACAGGGATGAGTATAAAGGAAGAGGATCTGACAAGGGGACAGGAGAGACATTTTTGAGGGGCCTCCTTCCATCTATGTTTAGGAAGAAAAAAACTGGTTCTGTCAAGCAGATACCTGGTCTCTCATTTGTCATGTATTAAAATATTTTCTCTGTTCTCCCCTCCTAACCAATTTCCTCACATGCAAAAGGAATATATGAGATTAGATCAATATTATTTACATTGTGTTCCCTTTGTTAATAGCAAAGACAAATTGACAAGAGGCATATTTTTCTTTTTTTTTTTTTTTTTTTGAGACGGAGCCTCAAGCTATCCCCCTGGGTAGAGTGCCATGGCATCACGCTCACAGCAACCTCCAACTCCTGGGCTCAAGCGAGTCTCCTGCCTCAGCCTCCCAAGTAGCTGGGACTACAGGCGCCCGCCACAACGCCTGGCCATTTTTTGGTTGCAGCCATCATTGTTGTTTGGCGGGCCCGGGCTGGGGATTCGAACCCGCCACCTTAGGTGTATGTGGCTGGCGCCTTAGCCGCTTGAGCCACAGGCGCCGAGCCAGGCATATTTTTCTTAACTTACTACGTTTGCGTCACTATAAAATCCAAGCCTAATAAGTCTAACTTTGACTGATATTTAATACTCACAGTGATGAGTTTATCTGAGATGACCATCCTGCTTTAATCCAAACATTAAATGTCATGCAATTCTCTTGTCGAGTAAATTTGAGAAACACTGAATAATCAGCCTCAAAAATTCCCCAACTCCAACACTGACTTCTTCCTGACAGAGAGGCCGTGGTGAACCGAGTGTTTGACAAGCTGTCCCCTCTCCACCAGCGCATCTACTGTGCACTCTCTGGTTCAGCGGCTGATGCCCAAGCCGTGGCCGACATGGCCGCCTACCAGCTGGAGCTCCATGGGTATGAAGAGCTGGGATCCTGACTCCATACCCCTTGAAGCCTCCCCAACCTGTGAACCCCTAAACAGCGTCCTGTTCTAAGAGCATGGCATTGGGAAATGAAAACTCCCTTTAGCTCCTGCTAGCACCTGAATTTCTCTAGGCCCATTTCTGCACCTGTAAAGTGGAGATGATAGTACCTTAACAGATAACTATTTGGGGAACCAAATGATATATGTGAAAGCAGTTTGAAAATTGTAAATCACTCTGCTAATACAAATCATCAGGAAAAAATGATGATGTGGCTCACTGTAATATCAGGCAGTGGCCATATGAGAAATCAAGGTCATTGGGAGGGAAGTAAACTTATCAGCTTTTAATCATAAGGGCAGGGCCCTTGCAGCTAAAAGAGAGTTATATCCCTGGGGATGGGTGGGGCTGAGTAAAAAAAAATAGGGTGAACAATTAAGAGCTTCTTACCAGTTGGTGGTGTGGGACTCTGGTTCCCTTGGACACATGGGAGGGAAGCTGGAGTTTGAACTATTGCAGCTCTAGGTTTCAGGTGTCACTTGGCAGGGACAAGGGTAATGGCATAGGAGAGTGGGACTTCAGAAAACTATATTGACCCTGATTCCTAATATTTCCTTCAGGTTGGAACTGGAAGAAGCCCCGCTTGTTCTGGCTGCTGCAACAGTGGTGAGAAACATCACCTACAAGTACCGGGAAGACTTGTCTGCACATCTCATGGTAGCTGGCTGGGACCAGCGTGAAGGGGGCCAGGTGAGTGCCTCCCCAAACTCCTCCTCCCTCCTCTTTTGAGGTTCCCCACTCCCCTACAGAGGGAGATGGAGGTCATATGTCATTCTAGCAGTGAGCTCCAAAGACACTACCTCTGAAAGCATAATGCAATCCTGTAACTGTTGGGTTATGAGATACGGGGACTTCATTGTAGGGTGCAGAGACCACCCACTTGTCGCAGTGGGAAGTATACGCTTGGTGATTCTTTAGTCTGACCTGAGGATGCCTCCCCCCAGGTATATGGAACCCTGGGAGGAATGCTGACCCGACAGCCATTTGCCATTGGTGGCTCCGGAAGCACCTATATCTATGGTTATGTGGACGCAGCATATAAACCAGGCATGTCCCCAGAGGAGTGCAGGCGCTTCACCACAGATGGTAACCAAGTGGAAGGGTATCTGGGGAGGGTTGGATGAAGTGGATTGTGAGGAACAGGAAGAGGAATGCATGGGTGATCCTTTAACTGAATGTCCAAACTGGTATACTCTTGTGAGTGAAAAGGGGCAGGACAAATGCAAAACCGGATGGGACTTTGGGGTAATGGGGATAAGTCAGCACTGTTTTGAGTAAACCAAGTTAGAAGACAGTCACCATAAGAACAGTGGCTTGCGCCTATAATCCTAGCATTCTGAGAGGCTGGGGTGGGTAGATTGCCTGAGCTCAGGACTTTGAGACCAGCCTGAGCAAGAGCGAGACCCTGTCTCTAAAAAAATAGCCGAGTGTTATGGCACCACTTGTAGTCCCAGCTACTCAAGAGGCTGAGGCAAGAAGATCCCTTGAGCCCAGGAGTTTGAGGTTGCTGTGAGCTATGACACCATGGCACTCTGCCCAGGGGTATAAAATGAGACTCTATCTCAAAAAAAAAAAAAAAAAAAAGAAAAGAAAAAAAACAGTGGTGTGTTGGGGCTGATGGAGGCCAGCTCATGAGAGCTAAATAGCCACATATTTGTGAGCTGCTTGTTATTTGTAACTTAAGATTGGTCACAGTGGAAGTATTTACACCAGGGACATCGATACTACATATGAAGGCGCTTTTTTTTTTTTAAGCCACTTTACTAGCACACCACTAAATACACCTCCCTGATAGGTAGGTTCTGAGGTGAAGTTGATAGGTAGTAGGTATATGGACAGGAGGGGAAGGGAAGGATTTTTGAAGCTAAGCCATTCTTTTTCCTTCTCCCTATCCTGAAACCTTCTGCAGCTATTGCTCTGGCCATGAGCCGGGATGGCTCTAGCGGAGGTGTCATCTACCTGGTCACCATTACAGCTGCTGGTGTGGACCATCGAGTCATCTTGGGCAATGAGCTGCCAAAATTCTATGATGACTGAATCTTCCTCAGACGTCTGTCTCTCATTTTATAATAAATGTTCTAGGATCAGAACCTGGTATGGTCAGTGGGACATGGGAGCTCAGGAAGATGTAGCTAGGGGAGGAGGCTGAAGAAGACATCCTCCCAGATGTCAACATATCCTTTTCATCCTGTTGTCCCAGGTCTAAAATGTCTTTCCCAGACAAAGGAAGGGGAAAATAGTAGAAATATAATGACCCTACACGTGGCAGGTCATTATGTAGTGAGTGATTGCAATGTTTTACAAACAATAAAAACTCTCATTCGGATGTCCAGGGAATGAGGGTGCAAGTGAGGAGTTGGTCTCATCATTTAAGGCTAAGACTGACAGCTGCACACGTGAGAATTAACTGAGAGCATCAGCAAATTCACACGTAAAAGAATTCCATTCATAATACATCTTTTCATGTTAAAGACCAATACATGAAAAATGCTGAAATGTTGGGGGGCACTTTGAATTTCAGAGAATAATAACAATAACTTTAAAAAGCTGTATCTATTGAACCAGGCATTGGCTAAATGTTTATAAATTTTGTCTCTTAGAATCCAAACCACACACACACACAAAATCCCATTTAGTTACTGTGACAAATAAAGGCTTAGAAAGATCAAGTCACTTGATCAAGGTCACACAGCAAGTTCAGAAGCTGAGTCTGGGATTTAGTTTTATCATAGGCCTTTCCTTTACTCCTAGATAAAGCTTTCCATTCCCTCAAGCCCCATATCGCATCATCTCCTTTAAACCTGTAATAATCAGCCAGGATGTTCAGTGGCACTTAGGCAATTGTTACCAGATGCCGGAGGAACCATACTGAACAAGGCTGAGCTCCCTCCTATCTTTTCCTCCTCTCTCTATCCTGAAACCCTCTGCAGCTATTGCTCTGGCCATGAGCCGGGATGGCTCTAGCGGAGGTGTCATCTACCTGGTCACCATTACAACACTTCCTGAGCGACAGGAATAATTATTCCCCTGCATGAGCCCTCATTTGCTTTTCTGTCAAAAGAAAATATTGAATGATTTATAAGGTAGTTTACAGCTCTGTCAATGCTGCTTGGCTAGTAAGTGAGCAGTTAACCTGCATATGCAACAGAACTAACAGTAGGATCTCAGGCTAAACACACAGATTTAAAATACTCTAAAGCAATCATACACCCCTGGGGATGTGGGGAAAATGTGAAATTATGAGCACCCATGATTGTTTTCAGCCATGATAATTTCTTCTAAATTTTATTTATTTATTTATTTTTATTTTAAAGCAATAGTTTAAGAGTCTATTTCTCCCACTGGTCACAACTACAAACTCTGAGAGGGATACCAAAAGCAAGTACAGACTCAGCTCCCATGCTTAGTGAGTAGGGCACCACCAGCCACATACATTGAGGCTGGTGGGTTCAAGCCCAGCCCAGGCCTGCTAAACGACAACTGCAACCAAAAAATAGCTGGGCATTGGGTGGGTTCCTATAGTCCCAGATACTCTGGAGGCTAAGGCAAGAGAATCATTTAAGCCCAAGAGTTTGAGGTTGCTATGAGCTGTGACACCATGGCACTCTACCAAGGGCAATATAGTGAGACTCTGTGAACCTAACAAACAGCAAGTACAGAGCTAAGAAATAAACAAAAGCAAGTGGATTGCAAAGAGAGTTGGGACTTGGAAAGGGGACTCCCCTTTGGGTGGATTTTCAAATTTTTTCCCCTTTACTTTTCTAGCTTTGCCCTGAAGTGAGGCCCAGGTGCAGAGCTGACCACATGGTAGCACAAGCACTAAGTGTCCAAGAGAAACACTAGCTTTGTAGCCAGAAGAATGAAGAAAAGGGGCCCCTGTGGGTAGAGAGTGTAGGGGAATCTTCAAAATGATTGTGAGAGGAGATTCCCTAGTTCTAAGTCTGCAACCTGGCGAGTATAAATGTATAAATGTTAAGAGAGTAAAAGAATTAACCTCAAAGTCTTAGTCACTGGAAGAAACTCCCATATTTTAATCATTCATTTTAGTAAAGCTATGTTAATGAAAAAATTCTTAGGTTAGTAGAGAGCAAAATAAGCTCTAATAAATAGAGCTGGAAGCGAAAAAGAAGACGAAGTTACGCCATTAACTAGCAATGCTGTGAAAGTGGGAGGAGGGGGTCTGGAGAAGAAAAGTGTGAACATTGAAAGAGAGAGGTACACGTGCCTGGGACACACCCTAAGCAGTACAGCAAAGTTTCTCCTAAAGATTTAAACTTTTTTAAAATTAGAAGGCTTAGGGCAGCGCCTGTAGCTCAAAGGAGTAGGGTGCTGGCCCCATATGCCAGAGGTGGTGGGTTCAAACCCAGCCCCAGCCAAAAACTGCAACAACAACAACAAAAAAAAAAAATTAGAAGGCATAGTCTTTCCTTATTGGCCAAATAACTGTATTTTTATGCCTCTCATTCCAACAAAAGGTTTGTAGCAGCTTACAGAGACAATTTAAAATAATTTTTAAAAGAAGAAGAAATAAGAGCAAAGGGAAAGTAAGATTAAGAATATAAGTGAATTCAAGGGGATAAATCTAATACACAACATGAGTATCTTTAAAAACAGAAAAAAGAAGGGTAATCTGTTGGAACTATCTTATACTGGCTAGCAAAAGCAGATTGTAAAATATTCAGGAATTTCGCAAGGCAGTTGTTAATTACTAGTAAGTTGATATTGACCATAGTGGAGGTATTTATACTACAGACATCAGCAATGCTGCAAATCAGAACTTCTTGGTTTTCCCCCAGAGAGCCAGTTTAACAAGGTAATGAAAGCAAAGAAGGAAATGAAATTAGGTACAGGATTTGCAAGATTCATTTTTTTAAAAAGCCTTCAAAAAGCCCAAAAATATACATGATAGTTCAAGTTACACAGAACAGTTACTGAGATAGAATATGCATTACTCTGTAAGGGAAATGCCAGTCAATTCTGGAATGTCAACATCTTAGAAACTGCACCCATACTGTAGTAAAATTACAGAGGATACAGAAAATCCTCATGATTTGTAAACAAACAAAATGTTGGTCAGTAACATGAATTTAAAAGGCAATCACAAAAGAAATTATCTCATTTAGAACCAAGTTGGTAAAAAGGTTACATATAAAATATTGTGGGATTCGGCTAAAGCAGTACTTAGAATTTTATGGCTTCAAATACATTTGTGAGAATACGCAAGGTTAAAATAAATGACATAAAAATTCTCCTCAAAAATTTGAGAAAATAATAATTCAGCAAACCTAAAGAAATAAGAAGAAATTGTGAAGATAAGAATAGAAAGCAGTGAAACAGAAACAGAGAACAAAAACTAGCTAGCGACAATTCACAGTAACTTTGATTCCAGAAGCTGCTTATTAAAAAATATTTATTATTTATATGTTCACCTTTAGGAGGAGGCTGATCTTGGCTAAAGAGAGAAAAAACAAATGAACACATACAGAATGAAAAACAGAAAATAGATGCAGATACAACAGAGATACAAAGCATAATAAAGATTATGCTTTATGAACAAGAACATGCTAATAAATTTGAAAACCTAGATGAGATAGGTAAATTCTTAGAAAAATTTTATCCATTTAAATTAGCACAAGAAGAACTACACAACTTGTAGTGGGAAAAAAATAGGCCCTGTGTGGTAGCTCATGCCTGTAATCCTCACACTTTGAGAGGCCAAGGCAAAGGAAACACTTGAGGCCAGGAGTTCAAGACCAACCTGAGCAAGATCAAGATCTGTCTCTACAAAAAAATAGAAAATTATCCAGGCATGGTGAGGCACACCTGTATCCCAGCTACTCAGAAGGCTGAGGCAGGAGCATCGCTTGAGTTCAGGAGTTTGAGGTTACAGCGAGCTATGATGGCACCACAGCCCTCTAGCCTGGGCAACAGAGTGAGACTCTGTCTCAAAAAAAAGAATAGAAAAGAAAAGAAAAATTGTCAATGGCCTCTGATAAAAATACCTTTTTAAAAAAGTGTTTAGGTGGTTTCATAGATGAGTTTCATTAAACATTCAAGGAACATGCAACTCCTATCTTATGTACTTTTTCCAGAAAATAGAAAAGAGATTAAAGCTGCCTAGATAATTTTGTCAAGCTAATATAATCTTGATCCTAAATTGAGCTATGGAAAACTCAAGGAAAGAAAATGATAGATTCATTACACCATGAACATAAATGGAAAAAATTAAATATTTATGCACTGAATTCAATAATAGTAAAAATAATAATATATCAAGATCAAATGGGAAATCTTTGGACTGCAAGGATGGTTCAGTCTAATAAGACATACTGCTATAATCTACCACATTCATAAACTAAAAAAGAAAAGAAAAGCCATTTGTTTTTCTCAATTGATTAATGAAAGGCATTTCATAGAGTAGATCCAGTTATGATTTTTGAAAAACAGTTAAGGAAACAGGAAGGAAATGACACTTCTTTATTTTGGCATAGATTATTCTCCACAAGGTGCAATTAGCAGTATACCTCATGGAAAAATCTCAGGTACCCAAGACCAGAATGACCACTGTAATTAGTAGTAACATAGCACCGGACCAACGATGACCCTGTACCATACACCAAAGAATACCATTAACTCCATCATTTGTATTTGAAGTACAGAAAGCTCAATGACTTAAAGAAAATCATATCTCTCAGAGTAAGTTTTCTAATATATTTCCATGAGAAATATTAGATAATTCCCCATTTTTTCCATTCTACAAAATAAAAAATATAATTAAAGACATTAATTGAAGATTAGGATTTAGAAAGGGAGGATAAAATTAAGAATAATGCATAGTTTCCTCCCCAGTTTGCAGCCTCTTTCCCCAATGAACAGGTTTTTTTTTTTTATAAATCTCTTAGAATCTAATAAACATGTTCTATTACAAATAGGATACATGGATTACCTTTGGTCCTTTTTACAAAATTCTTAACTCTGCTGGCTAAAGGGACGAAGTGTAAGGGGAAAAATGTTTTAACTGCATTAAACTTATTCTGAAGCACTGGAAATTGGTTCGGTAATATTCAACTGTACCCAGCACTCTTTATGAGGGAGTTTCATGTATAGTATTTAAATATGTGTGGTACAGAATTTGTGCACTCAAAAAGTAAGAGATAATATATGGAGATTCAAGGCCTGCACAGTGTGGCTCATGCCTGTAATCCTAGCACTCTGGGAGGCCAAGGTGGGTGGATTGCTTGAGCTCACAAATTTGAGACCTGCCTTGTCAGGATCTGCTTCTGACACCACTTGATAGGGCCCAGGACTGGCCAGATCTCAGGCCCAGCTTAGGCAAGTTCTGGATGCAGACC